CGGTACCAGGTTGGGACCGTAGCAGCTCTTAGTTCGTCCGGGGTGGCTATGCCACCATCGCTTTTGACCATCGCCGTCAAAGCCATCTCCACTTGTCCCACAGTCTCACGCCACTGCTAGGTGTATGTAGTGAACCCTAGATGAGTGTCGGCCGTGCCGATGGGTCGAAGTGGACCTCTGGTGGTCGGCGTAGCTTCTCCATGCCGCCGCTCGCCGTGATGCCACGCGTGGGGTCACCGGGGGGTGTGTGTGGGGAAATTTCTAGAATTCCAAGGGGTTAAGCGAGAGTAGCTGTGAGTGATAGGAATAGTGATAGGACTTTGGTGCAGTTTGGGATGAATCCGGGGTGCTAGCCGCAAAAGTGTCTCATCTTGCGGGCTCTCTCTCTATCACGGGCGGCTGCGTTGCGTAAATACGGGTCAGCAACCGCGTGGCACATGTTTGCACCACGCCGATGTGGGCCGCAGCGGAGAGATTCATTTTTCGTTTTCATAAGGAATTAGAAATAGTTTTCTATTTTAATTTCGAGCTGATCTTTAGTAATTAATATAAAATCATGTAGGTGTCCAAAAATTATGAAACAAATTTTGTTAGGTTCCTAAAAGCGTGCTCAATCTATTTGTGTATTTAGTTCATGTTTATATGCGTTGACATTAGGGGCTATTAAGTCAATTGAGGATGCTTAATAATATTAAGTTAATTATTCTAGGAATTTTGTGGTAAATTGGTGATAGCTTTAGTCCTAAAATTTTTATAGTAGCTTCATTGTATTATTATGTGTTTACCGTAATTTTGTGGCTTTAGAATAGACTAAGCATTAGGGTAGTTAAATGCTCTTTGTTTCAATATATATTAAATCATCAATAGAAATAAAAGATATATCATTCATTTGTAAAGCTAGGTGTTTGTTAGTTGAACCCAACACTTTGCTTCAGAAGATGATAGTTAGCTTAGTACCTTAGTCCTTAGAGCTAGCTTAGTATGTGTATTCTTAGTCTAAGAGTTGTTGTTGCCTAAATGCTAAGTGTTGCATCATCATTGTATGCATGTAGAAAATGAGTTAGCGGAGATCGTGACCACCGGCGATCACGAGTTCGAGGAGATCATCGAGGAGTATGAGGAGGAGATTCTCATGCACGAGGAGGTCCCGAGCCGCCATGACCGACTCAATCGACACACTTTTGCCCAAGGCAAGCCTCGGTGCATGACCCCTTATTTTGATAATCACAGTTTATATATGTTATGTGCATTTACGCTAAAATTTTATAGAAACCACATGCATAGATATACTGTCCTAAGAGTCTTACTAGTGCGAGTTCGAGTAGTCATATGTTTTAGATTTTGATGGCGTGAGTAACCCGTCGTTACTCATAATAGCTGATTATTATTATTATTCTCATAATAAAATAATAAAAAGAAAATGGAGACCTAATGTGGATATGTTATGGATATTGGTGGGTGTAACAGGTTGTGTTCCACGACCAATAGTGCTTAGCTTGGTTACACTGTTTCCCTATTCTTGTCGATTAAGGACCATCCGTTACTATGGATGGTAGTCAGGTCACAGACTTATTATCCCAAGCACATACTTTCACTACTACACAAACTTTACTGGAGGCGGGCGTTTTCGGTTTTCCGTAATGGGCAAAAGTCCGTCCATTGTAGGCCTAGAGGCCACGGTAAATCGTCGCTTAACCACTTCACGCGGCGGCCTTGCCACCGCGGTGGTGCACGTTAGGATGCCCGCTGCGGTTAATCATTAAAAACAAAAAAACCAGGAGCGCCGGTGAGCCCATTCTCGAGCCCACACGACGACGGATCCGGGCTTCCCACGGCCGCAGATCCGTGTCACTGGGGAGGAGAAGAGGAGCAATGGCGGGCCCCAACGCCTTGGGACCATGGTGGAGGTCTCGGCGTCGTGGCCGTGGTGGAGGGAGGCCGCCCGGCCGAAGTGTCCTCGCTTCGTCGGATTCGGCCACACGCCGCCACCACCGACCGATCCGCCTCGGACGCTGCCTCTCGATCGGATCCGGTCACCGCGCCGCCACCGGCTAGATCCGCCTCGGGACGGGCTCATCGTTAGCCGTCCCCACGATCCGCGGAGGAGGAAGTCACCGCCTGGATCTCTCGGAGAGAGAAGAGGGAGGAGGAGGGAGATGGAGAGAGAAGAGGAGATGAACTCACCTACCTCGGATCGACGTCCTCCGCGCCACCGGCCCACCAGATCCAAACCCTAGCACCGCGCCATGTCGACCCACATGCCGTTGTCCCTCGGGCAAGCCGTCCCCTACACACGCCATTGCTTTCTCACGTGCCATCGCCCGGTAGCGCCCGTTGCCCAAGCGCCATCACCCAATCTTGCCATTGCTGTTCTATCGCTGCAAGGCCCGCCTCTCGTCATCTTGTCATCTTGCCACCTCTCGTCATCTTATCACGCACCGTGCTCTGCCTCGCGACGCGGAGAGCGGGGAGGGAGGCACGGAGGGGGAGAATGAGATGAGAGCCTCGCGACGCAGAGAGTGGGGAGGCGGAGAGAGGAGGGAGTCGGGGAGGGGAGGGAGTCACGGCACGTAGAGTGAGATGAGAGAGGGAGGCGTGGCTGCTGGGAGTGCGAGTGAAACCCTAGTCTGTGTATATATATGACGGCGGAAATAGTGGGCCTCGCTTTGGGCCTATTGGGCCTCCGATTTTCCGTGGCGGGCCTTAAACGATGCCCGCCACGGTAAATCGATTTATCGTGGCGAGCGCCTTAAGACGCCCGCCACGGTAAATAGGGTATTTTCCGTGGCGACGTTTTAGGCGCCCGCCGTGGTAAATCGATTTATCAAGGGCAAAAAAAAAGTTCACACGGTAAATAAAAATGCCCGCTCGGTAAATCATCAGATTTACCATGGCGGGCAAACTCGATGCCCGCCACGGAGGCCAAAAGTGGAACACTGCGCAAATTCAATCCTGTAGTAGTGTTTCTTATGGGAGCGGGAAGGCTCCATACGCTCTTGTCGTGGGTTCCGGCTCTTTAGGACCGAATCGATTGGAGGCGGGGAAAGGTGGAGGTCTAAGCACCATGTTGAGACCGGGTCTCAAGTGTGGGGCTTGGAGTCCAAGTTTGACGGGGACCGGACCCCGTGACAGAGTGGAATGGGTTAGTCTTGCTTGTTCTCGGGCGCAAGGTATGCGTGTTTTGGGTTATCCAAATTGGGATACATTGGTTCACGAATCATTGCTTTACGTGAGACAAGATGACTTTGCTATGGTATAGCAATCGTAGTAAGAACCGAAAGATGAAACATGGTGAAATAGTTCTAATAGCTTAACCCTTGCTTGAAAGTAGAACATGTGCTTACCTAGAATGGTTAGCTAATGAAGTAATCATGATCGCTAATAAAAACTTGACCCTAAGGACGTACTATTAGTGATGTTTTTCAAAAACAAAGGAAAACAACAAACCCATATTGTCTATCATACCCTTAGAGTCGGGAAATTATTCCCACCGGTCTGTAAGTCTTGCGAGTACATTGTGTACTGTGGTTTATTTACCTTTATTGCAGTGCGCTTGAGAAGTAGCTCTTGTGTGGAGGATTCTTCCGGGTCAAGCATAGATGCAGATCCCTGTAGCGTTTTTGCTAGATGTTTATTTTCATTCCACTGTTTAATTATCGCACTCAACTACGGTATTGTAATAAATAATTTTTAAGAACTCTTATTACATGAAATGGACTAAGTATTGTAAGCTCGTACTCATTATTGGATTCTGGATATAAAACGTGGATTGTTTTGAGTTCTTCCTTAGGGTGTGTTCGACGGAACTGACCGATGTAGCTCACTTTCGAGGTGCTTAGTGTCTAGTGGAAGATGAGCATCTCCGAAAGTGTGTTATTTCGGGCGGTTCTGCCACACAGTGCCACCAACACTGGGCTTGGCTCGACGGCAACGGTGGGGGATGGGGGGGGTGAGGAGCGCCATGGCTGCCAGGGTGGGGGGAGCTCGGTCGCCGGGGTGAGAGAGGGCGCCGCCGGGGGTAGGTAGGGCGCCGCGCCGGGGTAGAGGAGAGCCGCCCACTCCCCTACAACACCGCCGCGCCACCTCCATAGATCTCGCTCCTGCTCCATGGATCTCGCCGGGGTGGGGGAGAGCGTCGCCGGATCTACGGGTATTGGGGGCTCCCGGTGGGGGAGGATGCCGGGCATTGGTGCGATGCCTCAGGGGATGAGGACCGCGGAAGGGGTAAGGGCGGGAGCGGAGCGAGGCGTGCGGGATATTTTTTATGCGAGCGGCACATGCGGTAGTGAGTGGAGCGAGACCTCCGGCCTTCCAGACGTCTTAATTTTTCGCATTAGCATTGTTTTTATCTTTTTTCTTAAGGTGCAAGCATTCGAACCCTATGAACTTCCTTCACCTGATCTCTGAGATTCCTTTTGATTCTTTGGAGTATATATGGAAGATACGTAACGCATTGTGCTATCAAGGGATCAAGCTGGAATGGACATGAAGGTGGTTAAATCGTTATGTTCGGTACAACTAAAGTTGTTGCATCCCTCTCATCCTCCCAAATACAGTAGTCGTTTCCATAGGCGAAGCGAATGCAGCCACTATCTTCTCAGAACAGCCGTAGAAACGCCTATAGACCACAATGGGAAGATGACATGCCTGTCATTTGCTAAGCTAAGCCTCAAGTTCTGCGTATATCTTCAGTAGGCGTGTGTTTAGTTCGTAGGTTAGTGGTGTGTGTTAATTAGCGTGTAGGGTATGATGTGTCGGTGTGCATTTGGGCACAAGTTCAGTGTTCAGAGACCAAGAACTTATACCCATTGTTGATCACGAAAATTATACCTATGCGGCGTTCTCGGATTCTTTCCAAATGTTGCGCGTGAGTAACATGACCCTGCAGCAGCAGGTGTGCAGAGTTTTCTTCCATCAGATGACTTGTGAATGGCTGTCGCGATGATAGAACGGAGAACAAATACATGTGCTCGTGCAGGCATGTCCTTCCTGAGCACAGTTTATTCCTTCTTATTACCACTGTACTCCGTACCACATAGTCCGACACATAAGATCCGTCCAATCGAATCAACCAACACAATGTTTCTCATCATGCACGCAGACGCAGGTTCACTCTGCGCCGCCCATTTCCACAACGATCTTGCCGGTGGCGTGCCCTCGATGCTCTTCGCCCACGCCTCCTGCGCTCTGCTCAACGGGTACCTGGAGTCGACCACCGTCTTGAGCTTCCCCTGCCTCGTCATGTCCACCAGCCACTCCATCTCCTCCTTCTTGGGGATTAGGACCAGCGGGACCAGCCTCTTCTTGGCGAAGGTCACCTTCTGCAGGAACGACTTGGCCGCCGCGGCGATCCCCGGGGTGACATCGACGACCGTGGCCCTGTCGGCCAGAACCGGCGCGAACACCGACCACGGGTGCCCGTCACGCAGTGCGCCACCGCGTCGTACTTGGTGCCCGACGGGCTCCGCAGCGTGGCGCCCTCAGGGGTCTTGTAGTCCAGCACCTCGTCGGCGCCCAGGCCCCGACGAACCCCAGGTTGCGCGCGCCGCAGGTGGCCGTGACGTGGAGCCCGCCAGCTTGGCCAGCTGCACGGCGTAGTGGCCGACGCCGCCGGAGGCCGCGGTCACCAGCACGTTCTTGGGTCGCCGTTGTCGGCGCCGGAGCCTCCGTCGAAGCTGCTGACCCCCGCGGCCTTGAGCTGCTGGAGCGCGGTGGACGCCGCCGTGGGCAGAGAGGCGCCTTCCGCCGCGGACACCTCCGGCGGCCGTGCCACCGTAAGCGACGCCGGCGCCACCGCGTACTCAGCTAGCCCGCCTCCAGTCTTCCACCAGAGATGGTAAGTTTGTTACGTACTGCTCGATGGAGTATATCGCAGCATCGCTGCAATGAAGTCGTAAATGGAATTGGAAGCGAGAATATTACCGCGAAGCTGATGGAGATGACCTTGTCACCTGGTTTGAAGTTGGTCACACCGCTGCCTAGCTCTACGACTTCGCCGGATATGTCTCCAACTGTTTTTGCCACGGCAAGAAGATCGAGTTCTCGCGTTATTACATTATACATGGTAAGGTGCGGAACTGCAGTAGAAACTGTATCGATCATAAAATTTGTAGGGGCAAAAGTATTAGAAGTCTTGAACATTGTCCAGGATTGGTATGATCAACACACGTTCTAGTGATGTTTGTAGATATCCATGAAGATATGTCCACAAATGGCCAAATAGGGAAAAGCTATCTTTTCGCGCTGAAGCAAACGATAAATCTATACGGTGAAATTTGGCCGCGTCTCACTCGATCTCTCGTGGCCGTCTGATCTCGCTGTGAACGGAGAGAATCATACCTTGGTGAAAGGTGGGGTGCGGGTGCATGCGGTTCGTCTGATCTCTCGTGGCCGTCTGATCTGTTTACGTGGCTTATAAGTCGACTGATGTTATTTTGTTGTGAGAGAAAAATACTATATCATAGCTGATAAGCATGTCTGATACGATCAAGCGAACATGATTTTTGTTGCAGCTTTGCTTAATGACCATGACGCGATGGTAAGTGGTGGAGGGCAAGTGCATGCAGCTTTGCTGCTGGTGCAGTGACTGCTTTGCTACAGTATGTGTATTCGGGAGCAATTACCTATATTATTGTACCATATTTTACTATTTCTATTTAGGTGTAAGTTTTGTACTCGGTGTAAATTGATTATTCGTAAATAGGAATGCTCAGAATTATTCGTAAGCAAATCATTTCATTTGGTTTGGTTAGTTTGCTCATTTTTGTTGATATGCATTCTGCAATTTGTATTTCTTTCTGTTCTTTTTGAATTTCTTCCAATTTGCGTTCCATAAAACTGATCTGGTAAATTTTTTTAATTGCAATTTGTATGTTTTTATATGATTTTCCTTTTCTCTTTATTCTATTTGCATTTTCATAAATAAATCTGTTTATTTGTTTATTTTCTAGTCTCTTAGATCCGGATCTTGTGGTTTCTGCAAATCGGGTGATTCATGGCTTCAAATCACTCGATTGTGTCTGGTTGGCAAAATCGAGTGATTTTTACCCTTGCCTCACTCGGGCGTGCGGATGGTATAAATTACCCGAGTTTGTAGTAAACAGACCCGAAGCAAAAGCATAGTAAGTGGATGAGTTGGAACTGAAAAGTGGATTGGTTGGAAAGCAGGGCGCGACAATGCCCTTCCCATGTCTTATAGCTCATGGCTAATCGTCACCATCACATTTTCTTTTCAGGATCGGCATCGGTCACCATCTAGCGTCGCCGAACACGGCACCAGGTGGTTTAGGAATCTTGAGCAATAGCCAATACAAATATTACAACAGAGCACTGAATTGATCTAAAATTGTTTTAGCCAGTGTTCAGTTGCTACTTCTGAACTGCAAAAAAATAACTTTAACCTGTAGAAGTCTTTGCACTTTCATGTGATGTGGGTACTGAGGCTATCTGAGGCTACATAACGTACCGTTGAGACATGTGTAAAGTACCTGGTATGAACGGGAACTTCCTAGGCAGGAAGGGGCGGACCATGCCCTTCTGAATTTTCCAGTCGATGGGGTTGATGCTGGCCGCCTCCAGCTTGAGCAGCACCTCCCCCTTGTTCGGGGATGGGACCGGAACTTCCACATGCTGAAATCAGGCAACAAGAGCATCAAGAAAAGCTCTTCGATCTTGGCCACGAACGACAGGAGCAGCAGGTGGTTGGGTGGTGCTAGTGTAGTGTACCTTTAGGCCTTCTGCTCCTCCACCATACTTGTCGTACTGCAGAGCTCTCATCGTCTTCTTGGGAGCAGCCATGGCTTGGTGCTTGCTTCTATGCGCGTGGAGAGAGAGAGAGAGAGAGGTGGCTCCGCGGCTTGTACGCTGATGCTGATATGGTTGGTCAGTCTCAGGCGGTGTTGTGGACAGAAATGAGCCGGTTGCTTGTACTTCAAATATCAGCGGTGCATGGCTGTTAGCTTCAGACAATAAAAGCGTCACTGTACGGTTAGCTTCACGTTTCTAGCAGACAATAAAACCGTCACTGTAAGGTTAGCTTCACGTTTCTAGCACCCAGTGCCGGTCCTAAGTTTTCAAGGGACCTAAGGCGAACTAATTACGACGGGCCCTCATGACTGTATATGTTTGTTTAGTATAGATATATACGTATATCTAATTTCACTTGCAAAACAAAAACAAATATAATGATATATTCTTAATTTTTATGAGAATATATTCTCGATTTTAACATATTTAATAATGATCGATGAACAACACTATTATGAACTTTGCCTAGACTGACATGAATGCCTAGCTGTTGCTGGCATGCTGCACGGCGATTGAGAGTTGAGAATTGAATCTTTAGGCTTCAGGGCGTCACATGCTAGTGCTGATCCCTGAATCTGATGGCTGATGTTCGATGGCCATGGCCTGCTGCTGGCCAGGATGCCAGGTTCCTGCTTGCTTGTTGCACGCGGCACGCGAGGGGCCATGGTGAATCGGCGATCGAGTAGTAGGCGCGGGCGGCGCATGCGTCACTGCATGAGGCAACTGAATCACCAAAGCATCCTAACAGCTAATGGTCTAATGGTCTATGGTCTACAAGGGATTTGCATACCTGGGTTTGGGCCCCTGTTTGGGCCGGGCTCTCCACGGCTCCGCGGTCGCATCCCTCGTCCCTCCCATAGGGCCGGCCCTGCTAGCACAAGGGATGGTACGTACTTTTAAATTAAAATTAAAAAAAACTAGAATGATTGTCCGTGCAATGGATGCTAACTTTTTAATGTGATATTCATATTTTTTTTTGTTGGAATTTTTTATTATCAGGGTAATTATTTTCTCTCCATGTGTTCTCAGTATATCAATCGGCACTATCTTTTTATAGCTTTGCGAACCAATTTCTTGACTTAAATCTTTCTCTCATTTATTTTCCCACTCTTATCCCGTCGATGAGCATTTTTTACCGACATCAAATCAACCTCTCATTCACTACTACAGATTGATATTTCACTGTCGCCACTTTTACCGCTGTAGCGATAGAAGCGACGGTGTTATACTTCCACCGCCGGTTGGACCGATAGCGAGGCCTCCTGAGGAAGAAAACCGACAGTTGAAACATCTACCACCGATGGGTTAACAATAGATGAGGCAGTGGTATTTTCTCAGTATTATGAAAAGCCGAGCCAACTGGTATACGTATTATGGCCGCCGGGCCTCTACGACTGTTTGGTCTATTGGCGGTGAAGTCAACACAGTTGCATCACCGTTACTTGCACTTCTCCATCTTCAAGGTTGGCCTATTTAACCAGGGTCTGGATGCACCTCTTGGGCTCAATCCACACACTCGTGAGTTACTGTATATTTTCTCATCGCTAAGAAGTGCTTTGTCTTCATCCTTGCACCTCTCATGGCCTCTTTTCCATTCCTGGGATCTCAAAGCTTGCCAGCAGAAACCGGGAGAAACTCTGCGTGAGTACATCCGTCGCTTTTTTCAAGCGGTATAATGAGCTTCCCCGACATCGTGGATGCGGACGTGATCGGTGCATTCATCTCCGGCATGACCAATGAAGCACTCGTCCATGAGCTCGAACGTAGCAAACCATGGACGACGCAGGAGTTGCTCGACCTCGCCACAAGCCATGCCTCCGTGTGAGAAGGCCATTCGGGCAATCTTTTGCAAATACAAGGGCAAGGCCCAGGCCGAACCCACGGACGAGGCTAAGGACCGCAATCGGCGAGGGAAAGGCAAGAAGGACAGCTGGAGGCGTCGCGACAGCGAGTTTGTCGCGGCGGTCGATAGGGTCCACAAGCAGAAGACTGGCAAGCTCAACCATGTCAGTTTTGACAAGATAGTCAAGTTGTCGTGTCAAGAACCACGGCTGCACCCGATGAAAGGTCCTAATATGGCTAGAGGGGAGGTGAATAGCCTATTAAAAAATCTACAAGATCGCTAGAGCAATTTGATTAGTATGACAAATAGCGAAACACAAACTTGCTCTAGCTATACAAGGGTTGCAAGCCACCTATCCAACAATTCTAGTTGCTATGATCACTAGGCACACAAAGATACTATGTTGCTACTCACTAAGAGCTCTCAAACTTGCTACACTAAAGAGCTCCACTAGATGAATTTAAACTACAAAGCAAGCTCTCAATTCTAGTTACACTAAAGAGCTTGCTACAACTAGTTTGCGGGAATGTAAATGAGTGAGTAGGGTGATTATACCGCCGCGTAGAGGAGTGAACCAATCACAAGATGAATACCAATTCAATCACCGGGAGAATACCAAAGGACAAGAGACAACCAATTTTTCTCCCGAGGTTCACGTGCTTACCGGCACGCTAGTCCCTGTTGTGTCGACCAACACTTGGTGGTTCGGCGGCTAAGAGGTGTTGCACGAACCTCGTCCACACAATTGGACACCGCAAGAACCTACCCACAAGTGAGGTAATTCAATGACATGAGCAATCCACTAAAGTTACCTTTCGACGCTCCACCGGGGAAGGCACAACAACCCCTCATAAGCACTTTGATTGGGGGCGAACACAATCACCTAATCCCCTCACCTATCAAAAATCATCAACCATCTAGGTGACGGCAATCACCAAGAGTAATAAGAAATCCACAATCACAAGAATCACCTAGTGCCACTAAATATGCAACCTCAAATGCACACACTAGGGTTTCCCCCAAATCCTCTCTCAAATGAGCACCAAGCTTTGAGAGGGAGAGGAGAGGGAGGAGATGCTCTTGAAGCTCTCAAGATCAACACTTTGAATCCTCAATCTCTCACTTAGGGTTAGCACAAAGCTTTGGGTGGAGAGATGAGAGGAGAGCTTGTTCTTCATTTTGGTTCTTGCAAGAATGAGAAAGAGAGTGGGCGAGAGAGAAGGAAGGGAAGGGGAGGCGCTGGGCGTATCCCAAAGAGCTGTGCACAAGCGCCCCCCAATGGCTCCTTGCAACAGATGTAGATAGCATGGCAAATGGCAGGGAGCAACGGCTCCCTCCAAAGACTCCCTCACCGACGCACAACCCCCACAGCCACCTCTATCCAACGGCTCCTCATCAGAGTGAACTGAGCAAAGAACACCAAATAGTCAAGAGCAAACGGTGGAACCAAAGAATGCCCAATGGGAGAGCGACAACGCCTCGTGCACTGTACATGCTTTCTCACCCTCAATGTGACACATGCAATGCGGTACCCCAACTCTCAACAAGAAATTCTTGCTTTGAGAAGTTAGAATTGCCGGGTTGAGCTCCATTTCTCACGCGTTTTCCATTTCTCTCTCCGACACAAGCACTATTTATGACTAAGAAATTCTTGTTGAGGAGAGGGAATTGTCGGATAAATGTTGGTTGCGCACATCTCAAGACCGAGCACCTCTCATCGGCAATTTTTCTTCATGACCAAGAAATTATGGCTGGGAAAACAACGGCTCACTTTAATCCTTTTCCTTTCTACCCTTTTAAGTGCTAACTTCATAAAAATATTCCAAAATAAATTAAGCACTTAAGTTAGCATTTTTACAAAGAATTTTTCTAGGGCTTTCTCATGCATCTCACAACATCACTAAGTGCTAAGAATATGCAAATGAGACTCACACTTAATGGCACTAGATAACCATTGTAATTAAAGATTTTCCCTCTTTATAGTACGGTTATCTATCCTAAATCCGATCACGTACTCTATTGCATCTTGACCGGCAAAACAAAACAGCCTTAGGTATTATACCTTTGCCTTGAGCCCATTTTGTTTTTCTCTTTCTTCTTTTCCAAATTGGAACACTTGATCTTCAAGTTTGGTCACCTCCATCACCATGACCATCATCTAGCTCCATCACTTGGTGTGTATCAACCTATCTTTTGCATTTTACTCATGACAAAGGTTAATACACTTAGGTTTTATCAATTATCCAAAACCAAACTAGGGCTTTCAATCTCCCCCTTTTTGGTAATTGATGACAACCTTTTCACAAAGATATTCAATAAAATCTTTTTTGGATTCATGTTGCTTGTCCAAGCATTTTACCATGTGTAAAGGATATGGACAAGTTTCATAAACTCGAATTGGTAGCATTAGCCCCCCCTACATATGTGCTAAGAGTTTGGATTTGAAAGCTTGCACATATGCATAGATTGGAATTGTGGGGAAGTAAAGTCTATCAATGATGCTAAGCTGTAAAGAATGGACCTTTGAAGCGTGATACCAATCGGAGTTGTCATTTGAACACCATCCTTAACACCATGGTTTGCTAGATACCACTTGAAAACAAAGACGCTAGATACCTCGCGAGATCAATATTAGAAACAAGGTTCTAGTACCACTTGTAAAAGCAATTCAAGTGTTCTAGCTATCCTATGCATGCTAGTTTTTCATTTCATCAATTTAAACCTACAACTAGCATACATCACACAAGCATGGAAATGGAATTTAAAACTTGTGCCATGCAAGCAAACATATGTAATGCATATCCAAATGCAACATACAAGTTTATGAGCTTGCTCCCTCTACTTGTGTGCTTCAAATTTTAATTGATCCCCTTCTTTTATCATGTTTCTCCCCTTTGTCATCTTTGGGTTCTCCCTATCTATCTTTGTGAATTACTTCTCCTCCTTTATCATTGATGACCACAAAAGGTGAGTTGAAAATTTTAGATAGGTTGTGTGAAACCATGTTATGTGAGGATCATTTTCCTAAATTTGGTTCAATCTATATCACTTGCAAAAGATATTTAACTCATTTTGATCTAAGGGCAAGCTTCTTCACACCTCATTTCAAGGGTTATCTTGACCATGTTGAGTTAAACACCTATAGCTC